ATGAACAGACAGTGTTAGCTATTTAGCTGAGTAAATAGTTATCAAAGGACTGAGATAAGTAGATATATATTATTAAATAAGTGCTGATTTTCTTCCAATTAAGAAGAGACGTTCTTGTTAGAATCTTCCTCGGTCACATGAGTCCCGTTTGCTTGCCTACATAGCAACTGTAATGCCTTATCCTTGGGGGAAATATTCACTGACAAAAGAGAAATAATGTTAATAGATGCACTAATATAATTCTATGACTGACAAATTTTCTCGGAAGACATCTTGGAAAATGGCCACTTCGATTGGTTGGAGGAAACCAAACCAAAAGAAAAATATAAGAACAAAAATCGAGGTTAATTTTAGCGACTTACACATTATTCTTGTTCTTCATCGTTCACCTCATACACGCCAAACGTCCACACGATTTTCTCTTTTTTGCCTATCGTTCGCATTGACTCTTAAATACAACAGCAATTGGGAATCCACAACTACAATACAATCTAATATGGAATGTAGAAGACTGATGAGTCAATATTTTTTATACTCGCGAGAATATCTAATTAGTCGGAACATAGCAAAAAAAAATAGAATTTGGTTCTATAACAAAGTTACACTTTAGCATTACAGAAACCTAAAAACGTAGATATCCTTATTAGCTAGTCTGGCACCATGCCAAACTTTTCAGAATGCTTGTGAGGATAAGATTCGATATACAATTAAGTAGGTTGTCGTTCCTGCTAATAACTTTATCATACATGTGTTGTTTATTTGCTAAATATGACACGTCAGATCTCTTAAAATGGCATGTCCTTTCCGAGCTGTTGTATCCAGAGGATCCGTTACTTCATTATCAGAATTGCCGTATATTTTAGAGAAAACATGCATGGAGTAGATTACGTTGCCAGCAAAGGTTAAAAATCACAGTCTACTTAACCCAGTAGTTTCCAAACATTTTTCCTGACCGCATTTTCAGAATTAAAATATTCTTGCACCTCACTTTTGTACATCTATATGAGCACTGTGTCATCTACATATCTTATTTTGTCAAAATCAATAATGGATTCTGGTTAGATTTCTAATTCTCTCGGAATAGCCTAACTCACTGTATATTTTGAATGGGTCCGGTGAGAAGGCACATCCTTGTCTTACACTCCTTTCTATTTTTTTCATATTTATTGAATTCATTTTCTATCCTCAGGCTCCCGGTATATGGTCTGTATTATTTTAATACACTTCCCAGATATGTAAAGATTACCTTTCTTTGTGAGGTGTTTATCAAACGATTTTATATAATCGATAAAACAGTTATATATCCTTTTGCATTTGTATTGCACAGTGAAAATGTGTATTATGGATGTGACTTATTTTGAAAAAAAGCAATAACGCACATTTTTTTAAATCATTGAAAAGAAATTAGACCTTACTTCAATTGGATACACATGAGAATCTAATCAAGTGAATGTGTTTTTACGCGCGAAAATGAAGATATACTCTTTAACCGAGTAAATTGCGTTCTGGGTATGACGATAAACTGCATTCGTGCCTGGGTAAGACGATAAATTACATCCGACAGCAAGGCCTCTGATCAGGAGGTTTTGAGGAGCATGGAACCACCTCTTAATTGGTGTTGTTCCCAGGTCTACCCAGACCTGGGGTGTTAGAACCTGTCAGGGTCCCAGTTATGGGCACATAGTTACCCCAGTAATGGGTCAAAATACTATGGAAGCATAAAAATAGGTTTTAATAACAGAAATACTTTTTTTTGTAAAACATTATTACGAGAAATGCATTATTATCAGCAATACATTTTGAAAAGAAAAATATTAACATGAATACATTTTTTGAAAATATTATTGCCAGCAATAAAAAATTGAGTTTGATATGCCATAAAACAAAACAAACCAAACTGAGTAAATAACTCATGTTTTCGAATAGATATTAAGTTTTGATGAATGATCTGTTTTTCAAACTTTTAAATGCTAAATATTCCTCTATAGTGAACATAACGTGCTTTATGTTGTAGTCCATGAATTTTGTTTCATTTGAAATAATTTTGAAGTCTTGATTGATACTTAACAGTGTCTGTTGTATGCAAATGATTCTAGGTAAAATTTGTAATCATTGGGCTTTGATGCATTTGCATCTGTTCTTTCTTAACATCAATATTTTTGGCCAATCCGTATATTTAAGGATGATTTTATAATCAATGTATTTTTTTTATCTTGACAGATTTATTCTCCCTAGAGTTTCGCAAATTCGGAATATTTGGTGCAAGTTACTGGAATTATTTTGTCTAATTGCATTTGGGTTATTGTTTTTTTTTGGCATTTCTTATTTCTTTATCACAATGTGAGAAACGATATATATATATATATATATATATATATATATATATATATATATATATATATATATCCCAATTACTATATACCAGCTGTAACAGCAACAATGTCCAAATCCTTTTACAACATATTTGCCCATCTCACAAAATGTTTAATATCTACAAATACACTAAACTAATTGACTTTCTTTATTCTAGGTTTTCAGATAAGATGTTTAGCCATCTTAATACCATTTGTCGTAAAAATCACTGAAAAGCTCTTTGAGATATTCAGCTAGAAATAAGACAGATTAAAATCATTTTGTGTCAGCCCCACTGTCTTCTCAAATGAGAAATGATGAGAAGTAAAAAAAAAAAACAAAAAAACATTCAGGCTTTCCGTAATGGTCCAATCATTCATACTCTGTCTTCCATCTTCAAAGTTTATTCAAGAATCATCAAAAGAACGGTGAATAAGTTTTTAAAAGAGGGAACAGTAGAGAGGAAATCTGGATCAACAGGCCACAATAGAAAGAGGGATAATTATTTCAAATTAGACCAATTAGAAAAGATCCAGTTCAATTCATAAGGCGTTTGGAACTTAACAGAGGAGTTTCAGATATGACAGTTCAAAGAGCAGAGAAAAAAGACTTGAAAATGAAATCTTCTGTGATAGGTATAAGGCACATTGTTACTTCAGGACAGAAAATTATATGATTAAAGTGAGTGACGATCATCTTGAATAAGTTGGAGAATAATTATTCGTGAATTGTTGTTTGCTGTTGCTCCTGTTCATGTAGTAACACCCTTTGAGAAGGCTCATCATCTAATAAATCGTTTCTCTGCTGCATGTAAAGCATTTGGTCTTACACTTAGCATAAAGAAAACTGAAGTAGTTCACAAACCTTGTCCTACAAGCAATTCTGTGGTGAGAAACAAAAACCGCCAGTTTACAAATTTCCAGATAGACCATTGAAAGTAAAAGACAAAACCCTGAAGTATTCACCTATTTTGGTAGCAAAGTCAACTCCAGTGCAACGTTAGATGATGAAATCATGCATCGGATTGCTAAGGCTACCAGTGCTTTCGGCAAACTTCGCCATCCTTTGTGGAATGAGCGGGGTATTCGACTGGATACGAAAATTCGGGTTTACAGAGTTGTTGTACTTGCCATCTTTTTGTATGGCTCAGCGTCATGGACTCCATACAGGTACCATATACGCTAGCTAGATGTTTCCCATAAAAGCTGTCTGCGTGCAATCTGTGCTGTTAAGCTTCAAGTTAGGACATCTAACGTAGACCTGTTTAGCAGGTGTAATATTGGAGGAATCGAGACTTTTATCATAGTCTCAGTTACGGAAGAATGGCTATGTTATCTGATAACAAGATACCCAAGATCCTAATGTACGGTCAGTTAGATCAGGGCTACAGGAATGTAGTACTCACATGGCTAAGATACAAAGACAAGCTGAAAAGCAACTTGCCAGATCTCAATATACCACATAATACCCTTGAGCGCTTAGCCAAGGAGCAGGTAGAATGGAGATCAACATGTTTTAGTGGACTTTTCTCATACAGACTCAGTTACGGTGGACTAGTCATGTCTTGAGAATGTCTGATGACAGGATGCCCAAGATCCTAATGTACAGGCAGTTAGATAAGGGCTACAGGAATGTAGGACGCCCGTTGCTAAGATACAAAGACAAGCTGAAAACTTGTCAGCAGTCAATATACCACATAACACCCCTGAGATCTTAGCCTTGGAGCGGGTAGAATGGAGATCAACGTGTTTTAGTGGACTCAGCAGTTTTCAATCTGCTTGTCCGAATCATCTTCAAAAAGCGAGAGCAAGATCGAAAAGGTCAGCCAATCTAAGAGTGATCTAATTTCACAATACTCACACTTGCTCCATATGTGGCCTCCTTTGTAAAGCGTGTCTTAAATGCCACTTAAGATTACCGCATAAACTTTCATAACTGAATCAATAGGCTGGCAGATCCTCATACGTCGAAACCGACCGGAGAGTCTATATATATATATATATATATATATATATATATATATATATATATATATATATATATATATGTGTGTGTGTGTGTGTGTGTGTGTGTAGACTTATTCCAATCATTCATGATCTTCCGATCCTTAGCTATGATGAAGTAATGAACATATCATTTTCGTTTATGATGTATTTCATCACGATTCTTCTGTTAAGCATGGAGATAAGTTAGACATACTTATTGCTCAACGTAGAGTCCAATATTGTTACAAAACCTCGGAGAATTCCAGTAATATATCTTTAATCATTTCTAAGCTACAACGGTTCAAAGCTTAATCTGACAATTGGACAATTTTGCTGTTACAGGATTTGAATAGTTTTCCTATTACACCCGATATATCACAATGTATAGAGCAATATGAAAGTTTTTCTCAATTGTATTTTGCTTAATTCCTATAGATTCTCATGTGATGTTTCTCCTCAGAGCGTTCTGACCTATCTTATATCTTCTGTTAAGTTATTTTAACACATACATTAGAAACAATTTCGAAATTGTTTAATTCCTTTCTCACGTTGTTTTGGTCTATCAGAATATTTTATTATGTGGATCGTATTTTTTGTTTGTTGCAACGTTTTACTGATTTTGTTCTTTATTCTTTTTTTTCATTTCCGAAACACTTGGCGGCGTACGATCATATCAATTTGAAACGCCGGTTCTCGTACGATCACCGAAATTAAGCAATGTCCAGACTGGTCAGTACCTAGATGGGTAACCGCTTGGGAATATCAGGTGCTGTAAGCTTGGATAAGCGGACGGTGTAAAAGTTATAGGGTTGGAATCGGGAATCGCATTTAATGAGGAGATATCAGTAAAAATCATTTTTCTGGCTTTAAATAACCTGAAAAAAGTTTGATAAGACGACAAAAAAATCATTCAATTAATGAATGTAACCATTTAGTTTCTTTTTTTTTATTTTTGATAATTTTCTTGCTTTTGTGTTGACATTTTCGACATTTCTGTATATCTTAGTCAAGTCGTTGTAAAAATCCGGTTTTGTTACATTTGAACTAATTTTATTGTTTTTTTAACCGATTTTTTTACATGTCATTTATGTCCGTCTTCTTTTATGTCATCCATTGTTAGGAGGTGTGTCTCATTCTCTTCCATCCCTTCACATCTCACATCCGGTGCATGTACCTTCAAGCCCCTGGGACTGATATACGCATTGAACCTGTGACCTTCCTATGAAAGCTATGTATTTTATCAACATACCAATTTTGGGGGGATTTATTTTTTATCCATTCGATTCATTCATTGTTTTCTTTATCATTCTGTAGCCTTCTCTCTTTTTTTTCCTCTGTTGTTCAGATAATGCGAACATTGTAAACTGCTTTCTTATCAACAGCGCAGTTCTTAGTCTGTGATATTTGACTTCCTTGTAGAGCTCTATATGCTCGCGTGTCTCTTTAAAGTTGATCAGACTTTCCCAAATGTAGACCCCACAAAGGTACAGCATTGAATAGGAAGAAATACTTCCGGCTTTAAGGAAAATATAAACGATGTTCTATTTTAAATACATATATTTTTTAAATATGTAATAGAATATGAAACAATTAAAATCAGGATAACAATACAATTTCAAATTCTGTATATCATTTGTTTAATTTCTCTATAACATCTATCAAATAATGCAAATACGCTAATGTTATTTAGAACCGTGCTTGTTTCTTTTTTTCTAAACATAACTCTATTAGACTGCATGGATGACGGGTCTCCATATGTTTATCATTAAAAAAACCCAAAAAAACAATGCAAATTCTGTAAACACTTGCTCTTTCCACATCTTTATTTGTTTACCATTTTATCCGGGTAGTTTTTCCAAGTTACTTATACGTATTTGTGACCACCCTCAGGAAAAAAAAATACTGCAGTATTAGATAATGTTATGTTTTTGTAGAGTTAGTATTGGAGAAATGACATATCAGTCGACGTGATAGAATTGTAACTACATGACCAATGTATATACAATTTTTATTATTATGACTACCGCTAATAAAACTACTCCTTCTACAACGACGACGAATAGTAGTAGCTATTCTATCTACTAATGGGCATGAAAATTGATATATTTATTTTCCTCTGGGGTATGCGTTAACTTTCTCGGGTGTTTTAATTTAATCGTTTTTAACATTCTGAATGAAGTCATATTTTGTGTTTTAATCTTTTCCTTCGAATATTTGAATAGATACGGGTGGGGAGGCGTTGCTTCTTTTTTTGTTTTGATTCTTCAATGTTAAAAAATAAATAATGTTTCATATGTTGCATGACATTTTCGTTGCATGTTTTGTTTTAATTATTGCTTCGAACATTTGTAATATTTTGCAGTTAATTTAGCATAGTATTTTTTGTATTAAAAATATCTCTGTTAGTGCAATGTTGGATAAGAATATGCTTTTTGTAGTGTTACTATTGGAAAAGTGATATATCAGTCGACGTGATAGAACTGTAATTACATGACCAATGTATACAAAATTATTATTATTACTACCGTTACTAAAACAAGTACTTCTACAACGACGTCAACGAATAGTAGTGGCTATTCTATGTACTAATGGACACGAAAATTCATATACACTTTAATCTTATTATTACAGGTTGATTTGCGATTAATATTATATTTCTATTGGAAAAGTGATATATCAGTCGACGTGATAGAATTGTAATTACATGACCAATGTATACAAAATTGTTATTATTACTACCGTTACTAAAACAAGTACTTCTACAACGACGTCAACGAATAGTAGTAGCTATTCTATTACGTGATAATACCCTTGGGAACGGTATAAATCCCCACCCCAGTAAATAGCAGGATAGACTACGTTCTATAGGACAGATTGGGTCCCCGCGATGATTCCCTTGATCTTGGGGAAAAGAGACATAGAGATAGATTAGATGGATAGGGATGTTGCTCCAGTACGGCGATGATCTTCTCGGCCAGGAACTGCCGGATGCTCAGGGAGTTGCCTTAGGTATCAACCGGTCTAGGACGAAGAAAGCTCTTAATTGAAAACCGGCCTGGAGAAGGTTGGGTTCCGTCAAGCCCAACTTCTACTGCAGCTGCAGTACACATGGTGCCCCTACGGCTCAATGGATGAAAAAATCATATATGCTTATTTTTATTTGACAGATGATGTATATCTATGCATTATCTTTTATACATTTTTCATGTCGTTTATATTTTATGACATTAATTAGAACAGAAATTGTTATCTTTTTATTCTTCTTGGGGCAATATTATTGACGTTTTTACCCTCGACAAGGATCGAACCAACATTTGCCTTTTTATGGGAAAGCACCATTTAGGCAGGCGTTCCTTTACGTTTCTGCCACGGTATTCTTTACAGCAAAACCAAATACAAATTACCCTATTAAATAAACATATATCTCTCGTTGTAACTTTTGTGTATTTATAGCCGTTAACTTGTACATTCGTAAGTAGAACATAAGTAGATTAATATAAACAATTATTTTCTTTAGTCGACATTATTTCTTATGAAGGGAAAACTTATTTGATTAGAAAACCTGTCTCTGTAGGCATTCATTTCTTCTTTTTTAATAAAACTGAAAATTACGAATATCGATTTAAATAATCAATAAACATCGCTTTCGATAATCATTGTTATGTATGAGGTCTGTCTTTAAAGTAACGGGCTGGTGTCACAAACAATTTATTTCAATTCGAAACAACAAACTACATGATTTCTATTTCAGTGTAACCCCCCGCAAGACTAATGCACTTTTCCATCCTTCTCTGTCACGCTTCTGTGCACTGCTGGAAGGATTATTCATTGATAGCCTTCAGCTCCGTCGTTATGGCATTCTGGGTGGCCCCACGAATTCAAAGCGGGGCCCCGCTATGATTCCCTTGATCTTGCGGAAAAGAAAGAAGTGAGACGGAGACAGGTCAGATGGATAGGGATGTTATTCCGGTACGGCGATGTTCTTCTCGGCCGGGAACTGCCGGATGTTCAGTGTATTGTGCGCAGGTGCGCTGTCGTAGTGAAGTAGACATGATTTGTCCTGCCACAACTCTCGAATGTGAAAAAATATGCAATGGTTACAGAAAGCTAAGATTACAGTTGTATACACCTACGTTATCATGTTAGATTCCTCTTATCTCATCCCTCTTTTGCCCAGAGCTCACAAAGCACATCCACTTTTCAGAGAGAGCTCGCCTTTTTGCTATGTTTATTTCAAATTTTCTAAATCTGTTCATCCCAAGACATTCAATAAAGCTACTAAGATGCCAGCGGTTACGGAGTGTTAAAAAGATAAAAAAAGAAACACAATTAAGGAGAGAGAGGAAAAATAAAATAACAATAATTATAAAGACAAAAGATAACGATTAACACTGAATTAATAAAAAAACAAAATTTTTTAAAGCTACTAGGATGCAAGAGGTTAGAGAATACGAGAAAAACTAATATTCAGGAGAATAAAAAAATAAAGAAAACAGAACATGATGATTGACATTGCATTTAAATTTTTGAAGATCAAAGGCAATAAAACCCCTTGAACACAGGGTGTTACTGGGTGTTAGAAAATATGAGAAAACCTCTGTCTATATTTCTGAGATGAGGTAGTATGTACACTATTTACATTATTCGGACTATTGTACGCTCCGGCCTTCTTCAGGGGGTTGGAATGTCGAACTGAAGCCTTTATTTCGCTCACTGGAGTAGACTGTTCTAGTTCCACGTGCCATGTTTAATGGATGTCAGCTATCAGTTGTCTCCTGTTAATTCCCCTCTACAAGTTCTCCACTGCCTTATCCGGGTATTGAACACACACATTTGGGTCCTGTCATTGGATCTAACGCCTTTATCCACTGTGCCATGTATCCTCAAGGACACATGGCACGGTTAAGGCGGTGGAGAACTTGGAGAGGGCTACTAACAGGAGGTAACTGATAACTGACATCCATTAAAACATGACACGTGGAACTAAAACAGTTTACCCCAGTGAGCGAAATAAAGGGTTCAGTTCGACATTCCAACCACCTGAAAAGGGCCGGAGCGTACAACGGCCGAAACGTTGTAATAAATATGGCGACAAAGATGAGGACAATAGTCCGAATAATGTAAATAGTGAGAAAAACCTCTATTAAAGCGAGGGGACAGTAATGGAATACTGATCAAGAAGACAGGAGATAACGATTGGCATTGCTTTTCAATTTTTGAAGATCAAAGGCAATAAAACCACTCAGACGCAAGAGATAAACTGAGTGTTAAAGAATATGAAAAAAATATTAAGGAGAAAGAAGAATAAAAGAATACGATTTAAGAAGACGGAAGATAACGATTGACATTGACTTTAAATTTTATAAGATCAAACTTGACTGTTAAGTAGGAAAACGAGAAAGATGTCCCCCGGCGAGAAGTGTGACAGTATAAATTGTTAGCATATAACTTACACTTACATTTACTCATTTCAACTGAAAAATGAGGAAACCTTTCCGCCAATTTACTACAGTGCTTAAATGGATAAAATCTAGGTACCATTGAGGAATATAGATCAGAACAATTACCATGAAACTATTTACAGAAAAGATATAGGGAAGATACGTTACGGCGGTGGTAAAAGGACTGAAGCCGAGATGTCAGGTCAATACCAATACAATTGCAGATTCTTTAGACTGTATTAATTATGTTTAAAGACAGATCAGGGACACCAGTCCAGATGTGGCAGCAATATTCAAAGTATGAATATTGAATGATAGATTTATTAATATGTATG